GAACCAGATGTACACACATATATGATCAGTTGAACCAGATATACACACATATGATCAGTTGAACCAGATGTACACACACATCAAAGGCTAAATCTATTGCATATTTTAATGATCCGCACTGAAACACCTCGGAACTAATATTGATTGTTTCGAAGGTTTAGTGTCGGTTATAAAAATACATGTACTTTTTCATTCTTGTTGGTTAGGTAGACCCCAGCAAAGTTCCTAACAAAGAACTTCTGCAACAACAACAACAAAACTTAGTAAGGTTTGTGGAAGAAGCATGGGAAAAAATTACAAGTTCTACTCAGAATCTGCCTTTGTAAGTATTGTTAGATAACATAATAACAGAGAACACATTAATGTATATGAGGAATTATCAGCCTAATTGTACGAACCTAGTAATATGTAAAAAAATAAAATATTCTGCTGTAGTCGGGAACAGTTGACAGGAAATATGAAAATAAATTCTTGCTTTATTTGGAAAGATTTGAATTCTGTTTTTGTTTTTTTTCGTCTTAACGGAAAGGTACTTTGTGTCTGTCCTGAAGACTGAACCCTGAACTTTAGCATTATAAGACCTAAATCTTGCCATTCAGTCACTGGGGACATCAATTACACACCAGTTTGTGTAGTTGTTAACAACCAGGAGCCATGTCACCATGGCCCGACAATAAAAGTAACCTGCCATCTGAGAATGTTAATGAATTTTTCATCAGAAAAAGTTTTTTGATTGTTTTTGTGTATACATTAATATTTGCAATGTAATTAAACATCACTGAAACGTTTAGTACACCATTTGAATTTCCATTAAATATTAAAATACCATAAATGAAATCCATCTGGTTATAATTCTACAGACTTTTAGATATCTAATGTTTGACTGTCGGCATGCATTTTGGCAAGTAAGCACTTGGTTGCTCGAGTACAGCTGAGATGACTGGCACTGAAAGTTGTTGCTGGTGTTAGATAATTCTAAATTGTACAGAAAAGACTGCATGATGGCTTCATCTGTAAACTTTAAACTGCTCCAAAAACACAGCATGTGTATCTTGTTTATTCACAAAATATAAATTGGGGCACAGTGTTCTTGGGACAAGATTGAATGAATAATTGCTCCTTACCAGGTTAAGCTACTATCCTGGCTCGTAGGATTCGTTACAGGCTCCTAAGCCTTAGAGATAATTACAACACCTGACAGAGGTGTAGATAGGTGTAAATTTGAGTTACACATGGTGAGAGGGTATGGGAGGGAGCTCATTCCCTCCACTATAGGAGTCCAGGGAGCCTCCCCTTGGACAGTTTTGAAATTTAAACCTGAAATGGTGCATTCTGGTGACCTTTTTTGCATATATATAACCTATAAAGAATTAATGATACAGGACATAACATACTGTAGAAATTCACATTTTGATCACTAGCTCATTTTTTTTTAAATTTTGTGGGAGAAAACAGATTAAGATTTTATATCAAAGAAATTTTG